GGAGAATTTGGTGGAATGAAGATTGGCAGGGGAAACCGAAGTACTCGGAGAATACCCGCTCCAGCGACACTTTGTCCACCAGAAATCCCACTTGACCAGACCCGGAATCGAACACCGGCCGCCGCGGTGGGAAGCCAGCGACTAGCCGCTTGAGCTATGGCGCGGCCCTAGACCTATATTAAAAGAAACAGAAGCAAAATAATACATTATTCTATTTCTAATTGGCTTTGTTAATAATGTACTTCTCTCATTTCTGTCACAAAAGCTCCGACCAAGAGGAATTAAGACAAAGGAAACGAAGACACTGATTTGTACTTGCAATAAACAAATGTTAGGACCATACAGTAAGGTGCATACGTAAAGAGGGTGTTTGTGAGAATCGTGGATTCTACTGGAGGACAACTCTCCACTCTTGTTCTTCCATCACACATACAAATAGATCACCGTCATCACGAAACGAATAAAACACAGAATTCCATGTTGAAACCTTGCTCGTAGCAACATATATATTACTTCTGTTTAACGGGACAACTACATTCGAGAATTATCGAATTCGATGAAACAAGACAACCTGAACGCACAAATTTCAACTTTTAAATGTCTGTAGTATATTTCTTTTTCTTTCTTTCCATGTCTCAAAAATGTAATTTTGTGAAAATTGAAAAATTTCCCACTCACTTCTTTCTATAAAATTTGGTAAAGAATGGAGCATACGGAGAATATATTTGGAATGTCTCCTTTTAAGGCAAAAAAAAAGTGAACTTGCAAACATTATGTGCATAATAAGTAAGCACTTATTCAAAAGATAAATAAAATACGTATATTATATTTTCTAATGTTACACATTGTCATTATATACTGTTCGAGACAACGAAACCCTACGCTGCACTGTTCTTCCTACCCAGTGGCGTGCCAGGCTTTGACTCCCATTCTCACCCAACAAGTACTTAAGCAACTGGCGACTCTCCACGCCACTAAAGATCGCCCCACTCCGCCACTTTCTAATTTCGTAACACAAATAACAGTAAGATGATGGCCCTGCGAACTTGTAAGGTGGAAGCAACATTAGTGTCAATACAGAATATTAAACTTTTCAAGGTAATGTTTGTTTCGTAGAGTGTAAACAAACCGTGAGAATTCTCTATGCAGCTTCAGGTTTGACGCCTCTCCCTGGAACTAGATATTGTAACGTGTATAGCTAGGCAACGGCATGATAAAGCGCACTCAACAATAGGACTGTTTTCTGTGAGTGGTCGGTGCGGACACTATACAACGACAGTTACAGATATAAGAGTTTTTCAGAATGCCTAAGGAGTTCAGCACCCGTGTGGAGGCGGGGTCGAATACCTCCACCGTGACCCTGCGAGTCGTAGGAGGCAACGAAAAGGGAAGTCTCAACTTTGAGACAGTAAAATATGGTCGCGAGTTCCATGGGACTTGGACCCTAGAAAGACTGCGCTGGCAATGACTAGCAGCATATACAAAAGACAGATTCGTCCTCTCGTCAGAGAGGGCGCCCCACAAAAACAAGACCGTAATTGTCAAACAGTAATAAATATCTGGAAATGAGTTCCAGATGGTGCTCGGCACCAAGACTTACTGACTGAGTGACCGCCAGTCGCAATGTGACCTTGACTTTGAAGAGTTTTCAGTTTTAAGTGCAGTTCCGTTCAAGAGAGTTCTCGGTAGGAGACAACCACAGGAAGTTCAGTCTTGAGTTCAGCAGAGTGCAGTTGAGTTCCAGAGTGATTGAACGAGAAATGGCAAGAGGACTACGTATTGATCTGAAGTGCTAGTTTCAGTGTGAGATACGTTGTCAGGATACGACTAGTGAAGACGGAGAATCCTAGTGCGTGTGCAACGGTGAACTGTAAAGTGTGTAAATCAGCGAGAGCGCTGTATTGCCTGTAATTAAGAGAGGCTTTAACCAAAGTGCTAATAAATCCAATCAACCGAAAAAGAACCCGTCATTTTTGTCGCGCGTACCATCCTACACTTGACAATATGCTGTCAATCCACATTTCACTTATACATACATTTACAGTATTTACCATTACTTTAGAGAACTCTGGACTATGTTCTTAATGTTCCGTTTCACTGCCCAGCGTAACATTTGAAATCGATTTTTATTTTATTCATTTCACCATCGTTCCAGTGCTAAAGACGAGAATCTGCTGTGTAACTGGATCACAGATTCGAAACTTCACCAATGGATCCACGCATTATCATCAATTTCTCAACAAGTGACACACTCGAAAAATTCATCTAAATGCAAGCCGCCCTTCAACCCCAGGAATCTTCCTGGTACTCATTTCTGCTAGAGACTGAGTCGACCCCAGGGCAATACTGAGGTTGGAAGGATTAGGCCAATTGAAAAAATTCAATGACCTCATTGGGAATCGAACCCGCGACCTTCCGGCTTGTAGCATAGAGCCTCAACCAACCACGCTACCCCGTGCCCCTTGCATCTATCAGTTCCATGTTACATCTTCATAGCAGAAGCTGGCATAGCTCAGTCAGTAAAGTGTTTGGGTATGGGTTGGATGAACAGGGTTCGATTTTTTCCAGACAGACTATTTCTATCCATCAGAGGTTCCACTCAGAGCCAATCCACTCTCACCGGGGACCCTTGCCGCAAAACATAAAATGACCGGTCGCCTTCATACGCTGCCACGGTTAAGAATGTGCGAAAATTCGTCTTCCTCCACAATACGTGTTCATGGCATGATTCTCAATTACACACAGGGAAATACTTTACTTTTTCGTTACCATTAATTTCAAACACAGAAAAGTTGGTGTATCTACGAACACATCTCAACAAACTCCGTGGCCTGTAGTCCATAACTGAACTATACCAACCGAGCGACCGCCGCTTGTCGGCGAAGTTAGTGCCAACTTTTGCGGATAGAGGGTGTCACGTGGTTAGCGCAACGGATCCCCACGGCCGTTAATCTCGGTTTTCTAGACCGGAACGAACACATCTACGGACCATAATATTTGAATCTGTGGTTCCGAAGGTGGCCGATCACAGTGGCCGTGCGATCTAAAGCATGGACTGTCTCCACAAGCTCGAACACTGAGATCGTGGATTCGAATCTCACTCGAGACATGGATGTCTGTGTGCGTATATTCTACGTTTGTGCTGATCTGTGTGTAGCTAGCAACCTTGCGACGGGCTAAATCCCCGACGAAGGAGTCCTGCCGACTGTGTATAAGATTGCGAAACTGACAGAGCGGCCAGGGCCTAACAAAGGGCTGTAGCGCCATTGCTGAATGAATGAATGAATGAGTGGTTAAGAAGGTTAGTGACCAGAAAGCAATGAAGTGGGGAAGGGGAGGGCTCATTCTCGCAAGGGACCTTATATAGGTGTATGATTAGCATGTATTTGCTAACAACTGTGCGCAGTAAGGACATGGAATAATTCAGTAAGATGGTGAATGATACATGATATTTAGAACTCAACTGATTTTGTCCGGGCCGATTCAAAATACCGTCTTTAGCGAATGCAGCACGCAGAGGAGAGACGAAAAATCAGTCGCAAAACCTGACTGAAAACATCCCTTCGAAGACCTTGGGGAGAACTGAAAAAATGATTCTGAAATTGATCTTAAAGAAATAGAGCGTGGTGAACTAGATTTATCTACCTCAGGAAAGGGACCAACGGCAGACTCTTTTCAATACAACGACCGTTCGGGTTTCTTACAGGGCGGAAAATTTTGAGCGATTAATAATATTATCCCCTGAAAATGTCTGCTTTATGGCGTCAGTTATACTGTGTTTAAAACAGCGCTGGAGGAGTCGGTATAGCGACAGTCTCTTTTGATGCAGTGATGTTGATAGTTGCACATCTCTTATCCTTGCAAGTTCATTTCTAAGAAGATTTAAGGCACAGGTTCCACCGCTCTTAATGTTTACCCACAGGAGTGGCACGACGCGACATATATAGAGTAGCGTGTCCAATTTGTAGGTCCTCTTGTTCAAGAGTAGCGTGCCTAATTTGTAGGTCCTCTCGTTTTTCCTTCGGCCTTCGTTTTCTCCTATCAGGCCAGGATTCACTGCTAAGTGGGTTTAAAGGTTCTTTAGTAACAAGTCATTTTGGATTAAATTAATTTATCGCAGAAAATAGGCGGGTTCTCGTAAGACGACAAAGATTGATAAATGCCGTTAGTGGAAAGTGAGACGGAGCACGAAACGAGTCTTGGCTTCAAATGTAACTAACAAGGTCTGGCCCGGTCTGACCCGTGGCAGTAACTAGCTCTTCCTATCGCGGTTGCGCAGTCCCCGTACAAACCACTGGCTGTCTTCCAATGTGTCAGTCAGGATACATTTACTTAACCTTTTAAAGACTGGCGATCGACAAGATGATAGGGACATTTTTCGTTCCAAATGCCTGTGTCCGTGATGACAGAAAATTCTTCGTGAGGGGGACTGAGGTGACGTTATGTTGATTTCTCTTAAAATCTAACATTTTTATTGTAAAAAAAGTAAAGTTATCCCTGTAACAGGCCGTGGAGGTCCATGGAGCTGTGAGACGTCGAGGCTGGCATTCTAGACAGTCGGCTCACAGATGGCGGTAATGTTGTCAACCTTACGAACCGGCCGCCTTTTACCCCTTAGAGATCTCTGGTATTCATTTCTGTTACAGACTTATTCGATCCTAGGGCCATAGTGGGGATGGAAGGATTAGGTCAATTGAAAAAATCCATCTCATCGGGACTCGAACCCGCGACCTTCCGGTTTGTAGCATAGTGCCTCACCTAACTACGCTACCGCGTGTTCCCCTCTATTTTTATAAACTTGTGAAAAAACATGTTAAAATTCACTCGTGAACGAAATCCTCACATGTATTATAAATGACTGGATTCACATTATGTTCGCACCGATGAAGTTTCGTAAATCATACGATAACGAAAACATATATTTGCGGATCAGTTACAACATCCTTTGAGCCAAAGTTATCAACTACAGAACAAAGTGGCCAAATTCGCTGCTCACTTACTCTTTAAGTATGCTGTCAGCAGGAACAACCTGGCCAGGGCAGTATATTTTCTTGTACTGAATTCCTTTGGATTTGAAAACCTGAAACAAACAGAAATACCATTTAACAGTGAGGTGACATATTCAGGATAGCAGAAAGTAGCGAGATTTGTACAACGGGGAAGGTCAGAAAGTTTTATCTTTCTGCCTTTTTGTGTCTATCCGTCCGTTGAATTAATCATCATCATCATCATCAGTAATCTGTCAAGACGACAGGTCCAAAGTCTCTTCCAAAACAATTCCTCCACTTAATGCGATCTAGAGCTTTCTCCTTCAAATGACAGTATTCTCTTCTGTCCCCAAGGTCATCCAGCATCTTCTTACGTCTTCTTCCTCGTCTTCTTGTCACTTCTATCCGCCCCTCTATCTTTCCTTCAATAACTTCTTTTAGAAGGCACTTTCTGCGTAAAACATGACCAATGTCATGCCTTCCGTTTTCTTATTTCGTGTAGGATATTCCTCTGCTCACTGACTCTAATTAACACTTCTTCATTTCTCACATAATCGGTCCAACTTATCTTCTCCATCCTTCTCCAACACCACATTTCGAAACTTTCCAGGTGTTTCTGATCTACTGCCCTAAGTGTCCATGTTTCAGCCCCATACAGAGCTATGCTCCAAATGTAGCATTTCACTAGTTTCTTCCTCAAATTTAAGTCCAATTTGCTGGTAAAAAGATTCTTCTTCTTGCTAAATGCAGCTTTTGCCATGGCAATCCTGGATTTAATTTCACTAGTACACCTTCCATCATCTGTTAACAAGCTACCCTAATATTTAAAACATTTCACTAGGAAGACTATGTGCAATTCGTATTCAAGTTCAGTAGAACACAAAGGCTGACGTCTGTAAATGCGCAAATTGGAGAAATTTTTTTATAAAGTTCGATATATATACGTATACAGGGTTTGTCCGAAAAGTAATGTCACTGATTTTATTGTGAAGTGACTATGCGTCGCAGCGCGCTCAGACAGGTTGTGATCGGTGGAGGGGGAAGTCGGCTTATGAACGCGCGGTCGCTTAGTCGTCTCCGAACTTCCTGAGAGTGACGAAAGGCTTTTCCATGAAACTCCTTTTGTCTCCCGTGCAAGCCGCAATGCAGCGCTGCTTGGAACAAAGGATTGCCATCAAGCTTTGTGTGAAATTTGGCAAGTCTGCAGTGGGAACTTTTCCCATGATAAAGACGGCCTTCGGTGATGATTGTTTGTCGGAACGTCAGGTCTACCGGTAGCATAAGGCCTTTTTAGAAGACCGTGAAGAGGTCGGCGATGAAGCCCGCGCTGGACGGCCATCAACAAGCACCACCGACGAAAATGTGACGCGTGTGGGAGAAGTTTTGAACTTAGACCGTCGTTTGAGTGTTCGTTTAATGGCACAGACATTAAACATTCCAAAAAGTACCGTTCACGAGACTGTGACGAACAATTTGCAGATGCGAAAAGTGTGCGCAAAGTTGGTGCCCAAAGTGTTAACGGGCGACCAAAAATCGCGCAGGGTTGAAACGTGCCAAGAACTTTTGGACTTGTGTGAAAGTGACCCTCACTTTCTAGACAATGTCATCACAGGTGACGAGACTTGGGTGTTTGAATACGAAACCCGAAACAAAAAGGCAAAGTGCCGAGTGGCACACCTCGGCATCCCCTCGCCCCAAGGCCAGAATGAGGTCAAAGGTTAAGGTCATGCTCATTGTGTTCATTGACATCAGGGGACTCGTCTACCATGAGTTTGTATCACATGGTACAACCATCAAAGCCAAATTCTACGTGTAAGTGCTAAAGAGACTGAAACGAAGGGTTTATCGCATCTGGCCCGACATCGCGGACGATTGGAAACTTCACCATGACAATGCGTCAGCCCACACCGCCTTCCTCGTGACCCGCTTCCTCACCGAATCAATGGTGCCAACGGTTCCCCAGCCGCCCTACAGTCCCGACGTGGCTCCCCCAGACTTCTTTTGTTTCCGCACTTGAAAACTCCCATGAAATGACATCATTTTGGGACAGTTAACGAAGTCAAAGAGGCTTGCACCAAGGCTCTAAAGGACATTCCGGAGGAGGCCTACCATGACGCCTTCGATGCCTGGAAACCTCGCTGGAAGCGATGTATCGACGCAGGAGTCTATTTTGAAGCCTTTTAATGTGTTGTACCGATCTAATCAATAAATGTTTTTAATCGACTCACTGACATTACTTTTCGGACAAACCATGTATATATATACATATATATGAAATTTAAACATTTAATTGATTTGTATATAATGTAAACATTTTGTTCTTAAAATCAGTATTGTCACCTACTCGGGGTTGCGTGACTGATAATAATGGGTTGTGGGTTAGATGATTGGATTTACTGTCGCTTCTTTACAATTACAATCAACTGTTACAGTTCACAATCAATGACTGTGTAAGACTCGCTCCGTTCCTTGCTGGACTACGAGCGTCTTCTCTTCCACCGTGACAAAAGATGAACGAAGAATCACTGATCACGTACTGAATTCTTATGGGTCGAGTCGAGTCGAGTCTTATGTTACGGCCGACGGTCAGACGGCCTATTTATCTTGGAATAAAGCATCCATCTGGGGCTACGACCAGATTTTTATTACTGTCAGACAGTTGCGGGTTTGCTGATGTGGGGCGCGCTCTCTGATGAGAGGACGGGTTTGTCTCGCCAGCTCAGTAATTTCGGGTCAGAGTCCCGTGGGACTTGTGACCATATTTTACTATCTCAGAATAGAGACTTCCCTTTTTGTCGCCTCCTACGACTCGCAAGGCTACGGTGGAGGTATTCGGCCCCGCCTCCACATGGGATTGAACTCTCTTACTGAGTCCGAGTCATGTTACGACAGACGGTCAGTAGGCCAGTCTGCCTTGGAATAAAGCACTTGAACTCTCTTACGAATAAATTACAACTCTTTTATAACTTCCAGGCGGCCCGAATATAGGTCACCATCTCAAACGGTTCCTCTGTTATTCTGTGTTATCCGTTGCAGCGGAAATCAGTGAGCCGTTGCCTATCAAATGGACTTCCGCTTCTGTTGTTATTCAGGGTTTCAGGCGATGTTTACTGAACCGTTGCCTAGTAAATGGTCTATTTCGTCGCAGTATGAACAGTAGGCCTATATGAGATACGTATTCGCATAGAAGAAAACATATCGTGAAAATTACTGTCATAGTACTCTTACAGTGAGCGGTTTTTTTTCGATCACCTCTGAAATGAAAGTAGTTACGTTCAAAATATCTGTGTAAGGTAATGTTTCATATGCAGTTCACATTGTTTCACATTTTGTTTCACAGGCTACAAAACGGGTACGGTTAACTCCGTACATACTGCAAATAATATACGCGTAAATATGACCAAAAAGGCTGTGCAGAATAATACTGGTCCACTTTAACCTGTAATTCCTTACAATTTTGTGTATTCTCTGAAAAGTATTACTAGTATGGGATATATTCACTTAAGCGCTTAAAATATGCACAGACGAAGGAAATAACTCCATGGTCCATTCCTCCTTAGAAGCTAATAATTGCTCAGACCATGAAGAATTTGCCCCTCCCCCTTATAAAACCTAAGATTACTAACGTTTGCCAGGGGTTCTAAGCCTGAGCCAAAATAATTCATTCCACCCTCTCCCACCCTATTTCTTTAAGATCCGTTTTAATATTATCCTCGCACATATACCTGAGTCCTACAAATGATAATCATCCTTCAGGCTTTCCGACCAAAATTCTGCATGCATTTCTCTTCTCTCCCATTCGTGCTGCATGCCCCGTCCACAGCATTATCCTTGTTATGACCACACTAATAGCATGTGGTGGAGAGCAGAATTATGAAGCTCATTATGTAGTTTTCTCCAGCCTCATATTACTTCCTCCATCATAAAAAAACAAAACAATCTCCGTGGTTTTAGTCCGCAAGCGAACTATACCGACCAAGCGACCACCGTTTGTCGGCGAAGTTAGTGCCAACTTTAGCGGATAGAGGGTGTCGCGTGGTTAGCGCAACGAATCCCCACGGCCGTTAATTTCGGTTTTCTAGACCGACAACTCTATTTCCTTGAAATAGGTCCTCAATTATCCTCATGAGGCTGAATGGACCCCGTTCCAGACGCACTACTTCTCACAAAATCTGGTAGCGCCGGAAATCGAATCCGGACCTCTGGATCTGTAGTCAGGAACTCTGACCACTAGACCACAGGGGCGGTCACTTCCTCCATCAAATGCTCAAGTATTCTCTCTTCAGTACCTGCTCTCAAACACCGTCAACCGACGTTCTTCTCCTGATGTGAGTGGCGAAGTTCTACAACCATAATACAAAATGCAGTTAATATTGCAGGCTGGGAGACACATCTCAACCCACGGCAGCATGCAGTCTCCGACTTCAATTTGCTCTTAATTGAATTTCACTCATTACCCTCTTTTCCAAATACCCTAATTCAGACACATTTTGGAAGAATTTATTTAGCTACCTTTTGCACTACGATTTGTGTTGCAACCTAATGACCATGCATGAATGCTCTGGACTCGTATTCGAAAGACTATTGGTTCTATTTTGACCGGGATTCCGGATATCCCGAGTTTCTTTGTGCATTTTCTCAGTTCCTCCCAGAAAATGCCGCGACTACCTCGATTATGTCGCAACCGCTTCGTTCCAAATCTTTTCCAGTTAAGAATTCATCAGTCATCCTACCACTCGACAATAAGCGACCCAGACACTGAGAGCGTCGTTAAACAACCAACAGAAAATAAAAACGAACATATGAGTATATGTCTGCTTATCCTCTTGAGCATTACATTGCTTCTGCGTTTCTGAGAGACAGAAAATAAAACGACAATGGTGTCCGAAAGAAAATAATAAATCTCCTCGTTCATAAGACTTTTTCTTCTAATTAATGTCTTCATAATAACCGGCTTATAACTACCCAAATGTTATGATGGAGAGTAGCGGAAACCGAAACTTATATTATTCTGCTTCTAGTTTTCTTCTTCTTTCACATTCAGAGGGCAGCTTCCACTTGGAAGACCCAGTCAAGAAAGAAGGATAATACT